GGGGGGGGGGTAAAATATATTTATGTTCAAATTTGATTTGTAATATAGATTTTTGCTCTTGAGCTTCAGGTTAACTAATCCAATAAGATGACACAAGAGTTTTGAGCTAGTGTTGGCAATTTGATACTAAAATACAAGAGTCTTGATTCAAATTGAGACCGATTGATTATTGTAGGATTTTTTTTTTAAATTAATTACGTAAATAAGGTTATTTTGAAACTATTTACACCTTTGAGATAGTTTACTACAATGTCATTATGGAGCATAGCAACATTAGTGTCACTTATAATATATATATATATATATATAAGTCATGAAAATCATGTTGTAAAACCGGTAACGCTTCAACTAAAGTTGCTACGGCCAGTAACAACACACAACACTTAATTTTATTTTTACGAAGTCGCTGCAGGCTATAGCGCTTCAATTTTTTTTTAAATAATTAAATGAAATCGTTACAGGCTATAACGACACTAATTAATTATTTCTTTTAAAAAAAACAATTTATTTAAATTTTTAGCAAATAACATTTTTAAAAAAATTAAATTTATTTAATAATTTTTAAGACTAACATGAATTGTTAAAAATAAAGAAAAAATAAATTCATTTTTGAATTGAATTGTTTAATATAAGAAATATAATTATAAAAAAATATATGTATATATAATTGTAAATATAAATATAATAAAATAAGTAAATTTTTTTATTAGCAGTAAAATATAAATTTTTCATAAATTTTAAATAAATAAAATTATATTATAAAGTCGCTATTGTGACACCCTCTACCTCAACATACATATACAATAATTATAAAACATATTCTCAGAGTAAATAAAATCATTTGAATTAAAACAATGGTTCCACTAACATAAGAGTAGAGAATTCACATTCGTAAACGTAAATCATGGTCAAAGGTGGAATTTACAAGAAAATGAAACAGGGGAGTGAGAAACATCTCACTCGGGTTCAGGTGTAAAAATAACAGTCAGACAACACACACACAAATCATAACAAACACAACCATAACTACACATTAATCAGGTGCAAATTAAAATTATACACACAATAGTAACACATGCACAGTCATTCATATCACATATCACTGGTGTGTTGCCTAAACAACACACTTAAAGTAGTCTAGGAGTATATGTAAGGAGCTA